GCTGTGGTAGGAATCGTGGACATGGGTTCCAGGGCGCTGGAAGCGTCAACGACGTTCCCAGGCAAGCGGAACCCATGTGATGAGTTGTGACCTGGTACTGTGGCGTAGATGAAGCGGTCTTGCGCCGCCGGGTAGGCCTCGACGCCGTACACGGTGGGTGCTTGAAGCGCCGACAGGTTGCCAGGTATGGAGGAGGCATGTACGCCATCCCTAGGTGAGAGAGGCCCGTGCGCATGGTTGCCGCGACGTGTCGCGTCCCAGGACAAGTTTCCCGGAACCACAACGGAGGCCTGGACGCCATCCGTCGGTACTGGGATCGATGCTGGCCGCGACGGACGCCTTGCGGGTTCCATCAGCGAAGAAGCGTGACGGCGTTCCTTATGGTGAACTGGTACCGGTAACGGGTGCTGGAGCCGCCGAGGAGGCCTTGACGCCGTCCCCGAACGGTGGTGTCAGTAAACAGCTGCCGAGGAGGGCTTGACGCCGTCCTCAAGCGACGCTTACCGCGGCTGCACGTCGGCGGGCGTTGTGGATGACGAAACCGAGACGTAAGCCGTTTTCTTCGTCGACTGCGCCATTGTAACGACGAGAAATAAGAGACAACGCCTTTGCTGCAGGCCGGCTGTTCTTATTCTGCTTCGTCTTCCTCCGCTTCCGTAACCCTGCCTGCGCCCTTGCCTGAGCCCCACTATTTAATATCATTACAATATATATATATATATATATATATATATATATATGAAATCTAACAGACAGTAATGCCAAGGAATGTACAGGGGAAGCTATTATAACCAATGGAATGTAAATAGGAAAAAAGAAAAGTGGATGAAAAAATAACCAACCGTGGGCAGGAATCGAACTTACGACCTTCGAATAAAGCGTTCCATCGAACGCGTTATTCGAAGATCGTAGGTCCATTTACTGCCCACGGTTGGTTATTTTTTCATCCACTTTTTTTTTGTGAGCGAAGTTGTGAGCGACCACCACGCCTTGTGTTGGCTAGCCACCTTGAAGGACCCTTCAGGTCGCCTCGCACGTTGGAGCCTGAGACTTCAAGAATATGACAATACTGTCATTTACAAGTCCGGCAAAAAACACTCCGACGCCGATTGTCTCTCTCGTGCGCCTGCAGTCGACAAACCGCTACCCGACGACCCGGATGACGACTACTTCTTGGGAACGATAACTACCGACGACTTCGCTGAACGACAGCGGGCCGACCCGGAACTTAAGGCCCTAATAGAATACCTCGAAGGCAAGACCGCCGAAGTCCCGAAGGTATTCAAGCGCGCACTTGCGTCGTTCTTTCTACAAAACGGTCTTCTACATAAGAAAAACTTTTCACCGCTTCGAGCGAAGTACCTCCTTGTGGTGCCTTCAGCTCTGCGACCAGAACTCCTGCAGGCCCTGCACGACGATTTGACGGCAGGGCACCGCGGTGTTTATCGCACGCTCGCGAGGATACAAGAAAGGTACTACTGGCCACGTCTTACCAACGTCACACGTTATGTGAGGACATTCCGGGAATGTCAGCGACGCAAGACACCGCCGACAAGTCTAGCGGGACTTCTGCAGCCAATATATCCACCTTGCCGACCTTTCCAGCAGATTGGTATGGACCTACTGGGGCCGTTCCCGACGTCGGCTTTAGGAAACAAGTGGATCGTGGTAGCTACCGAAAACCTCACCCGCTACGCCGAGACAAAAGCCCTGCCAACAGGCAGTGCATCCGAGGTAGCTAAGTTCTTCGTCGAAAATATCGTCCTACGTCACGGCACCCCGGAGGTCCTTAGTGCTACGTCATGCAAGCGTGTCGCCAATCATGTCATGACGTCATCGCCATCGCTGAGCACATAAAAGCGAGACACGCAAAATAAACGATCAGGTTCTTGCTTGGTTACTGAGCCGTTCACTCGCGACGTAACAGCGGCGACGAGGCACGAATCGACGCGGTGGGAGGAGGCTTTGAAGCGCGGCTGCTGAAACAGGCAGCGATGACGCCGGGACAGGCGCCTGCATTCACGGAAGAAGAAGGAGGCTGGTCCGCCCACAAGGTACGCTTGGAAGCATACTTTCAAGCACAGGAAATCACAGACGAGGCAAAAAAATGAGCCATGCTGGTGGCGGCTCTGTCCAAAGGCGCCGTCAAGGTACTTCAGGGACGATGCCACCCCAAAAGCGTGAACGACCTCACCTACAGCGATGTCATCAAGCATCTGCAGAGCCACTACGAGCCGCAGGTCAACGAAACAGCAGCCAGCTACCGATTCTTCACGCGCACACAGGCAGAAGGTGAGCGAGTGCGGGATTTTGTAGCCGCCCTTCGCCGCATGGCCGAAGACTGCAATTTCGGCGACATGTTGCACCGCATGCTGGGGGACCGCATGGTATGTGGTGTTCGAGATGACGACGTAAGACGTCTGTTGTTGACCCGCGGTTCCCTGATATTGAAGGAAGCAGAAGACTTCGTAATGGCTGCTGAGGCCGCCGCGGAAAACGCGCAGCACATGCAGCCACTGTCCTCCCTGGTAGCCAACACAACGAATTTTGTCCGGCCGGGCCTCTCACTTTCGAAGTCGAAGAAAGCAAGTGGGCTATCTCGCGATGAGCATCGGCCTTGCACGCGCTGTGGTGCATCCTCGCACCAAGCGGATGATTGTCGTCATCTCTTAACAGTGTGCCATCGATGCCGGAAACGCGGCCACTTGGCATGAGTGTGTAGAGCGTCGAACGAAGACACTACTCGGAGGCAACAAGCGAACGCCCTTTCGCAAGACCCACAAGAGAGTTCGGATGACTGCGAAGCTTTATACACGATGACTGCGCATCAAGTGACGGACAGCGCGAACGTAAAGCCTATTTTGCGCCAGATAAGTTGGAACGGAGTGCCGTTCAAGATGTTGGTAGACACGGGTCCACCTGTGACTGTTATTTTGCGGTCAGTGTTCGAGCGACACCAAGGCAAATGGCCACGTTTGCAAGCCACAACAATGAAGCTGTCGTGTTTTAAGGGCCCACTTCCTATCAACGGAAAATTGCAACTCAATGCCACCATGAGTGGCGCGACCATTCAGGCCGAACTTTTCGTCATCGACTGTCCGGGACCGATGCTTTGTGGCCATGACACTATCCGCAGCTTCAATACAGCAGGCGTACCGGTACTCACTGGAAACGAGGTGGCGTGTGTGCAGGCGGAAAATGCGGACAGAATGGTGGAAACCATGCTATCAAAGTACAGTGATGTCTTTGCTCGGGGGTTGGGTTTGCTCTGAGGGCCACCGGTACACCTGACCGTCAAAGAAGGTGCAAGACCCCGGCTTTGTAAGGCACGGACGGTGCCGTATGCGCTCAAAGAAATGGTATCAGCAGAGTTAGATCGGCTGGTAAACGAAGGGGTGTTATCATCGGTAACATCGGCCGAATGGGCCACACCCGTGGTGCCCGTAGTCAAGAAAGATGGGCAGGTGCGATTATGCGGCGACTTCCGGCTTACGGTAAACGCATGCTACCATAATGGAGCAATATCCGCAGCTACGGGTTGACGATATCTTTGCGAACCTCAACGGCAGAGAAGTTTTCAGCACATTGGACTTGAGAAACGCCTATAATCAGCTGCCCCTTGACGAGAACTCCAAGAGGTTAGACGTTTTTACACGCACCAGGGTCTCTACTGTTTCAACAGGCTGCCGTTCGGAGTGTCGTCAGTGCCAGCAATCTTCGAGCGGCGCATGGAGGCCGTGCTCAGCGGGATCCCCGGTGTGCAGGTATATCTGGACGACATAATTGTATCGGAAAAGGCAAACGACTGAAGGATCCTGGAGCAAGTGCTACAGCGCCTGAGGGAACACGGCCTGCACCTACGACGGGAGAAATACAAGTTTAGGCAAGAGCAAGTCACCTTTTTCGGACACTGCATCGACTGACACGGCCTACGCCTCAAAAGCGACAACATCACGGCACTGCTCGACGCCCCCCAGCCCACTTCGGTAAGAGAACTGAAAGCTTTTTTAGGTCTGTTAGATTACTACGGCAAGTTTTTGTCCAATGTGTCGACCTTACTAGCGCCCTTATACGCATTGTTTGCAAAGGGCGTAAAATGGGTCTGGAACAGACAATAACAGAATGCTTTCGAGGCAGCTAAACAAGCAGTGAATAATGCAAAACTTTTGGTGCATTTTGACCCAAGCAAGCCCATTCGCCTAAAGTGCGACGCGTCAGCAGTAGGCCTGGAGCAGTGTTGTCGCATCGAGTGGGAGGAATTGACTACCCTATCGGATTCAGGTCACGAACATTAACAAAGGCCGAGAAAAATTATTCCCAGTTGGAAAAGGAGGCCCTCGCCCTCGTATTTGGCGTGACCAGGTTCAGAGACTATCTGTACGGGACCCACTTTGAACTAGTAACCGACCACAAACCATTAACCGGACTGTTCAGTCCAGACAAGGGAATTCCGCCGATGGCCGCGGCCCGCATTCAGCGTTGGGCCTTGCTGTTGGGTGGATATCGGTACAGCCTAACCTATCGTAAAGGATGTGAAAACGTAAACGCAGATGCCTTCAGCCGACTTCCTATTCCTCGGGGGCAGCCCGATAACGTAAAAGATGACTCTCCCGAGTATGTATTATACGCTGAAGCTGTGAACGCGGCACCCATCAGTGCCAAAGAGTTGGTGCTTCTAAACATCCGTGATGCTATGTTACAGCAGGTGCGAAAGTGGATCCTGCAGGGCTGGCCGCAGTACCTGACAGAGTCCGAAGAGCGATTCCGGCCGTTCTTCCAGAAAAAGGATGAGCTGACGGTGAATCAGGACCTCATTATTGGGGACATAGAGTAGTAGTGCCATCAGCGGCTGCTGGGAGTCTTTTGAGGCTTCTACATGAAACACATCCAGGGATGGCGGCAATGAAAAACCTTGCTCGAACCATTTTTTGGTATCCAGGGCTGGATGCCGACATCGAAAGGATGGTACGCGAATTTGAGAGGTGTGCTAAACCAGTGCAATGCCTCCTGCGCAGGTTCTGGCACCATGGCCAGAAACGGGCCGGAAATGGTCTCGAGTGCACATCGACTACGCAAGCCCCGTCGAAGGACACATGCTACTGGTGGTCGTAGATGCTGAAACAAAGTGGCTGGAGGCCATATCGAGGCGTAGTACGACATCAGAAGCCACCGTGGAAGCGTTGAGGCCGATATTTGCCAGGTTCGGACTCCCACATACACTTGTTTCAGATAATGGCCCACAGTTCATCTCAGCCGAGTTTCAGAACTTTGTAAGAATGAACGGGATCAACCACGTGACGACGGCGCCTTACCACCCGCAGTCAAATGGCCTGGCGGAACGCGCGGTTCTCACGATCAAGGAAGGCCTTCGAAAAAGCCAAGGGGGTGGCAGATTCATTAAACATCTCAGTCAGATTTTACGCCGATACCGACGGACACCGGTAAAAGCTGGGAAGTCTCCGTCAGAACTACTGCTGGGTTATCAGCTACGGACCAGGCTAGACTGTTGCCTCCCGAGTGCAGGCGGGGAACAGCGTTTTGAAGAGCGGTCCTCCACAATGCCGTTCTGTGCAGGACAGCCGGTGTGGCTGAGAAGTTTCCACAGCCGGCCAAAATGGTTGCCGGGAGTGGTCACCAGTACCCAAGGGGCTCGGATGGCGACTATGTCTACGCCGATTGGCGAGCAACGTCGTAATGCGAACCAACTGCGGCTGCGCACTCCGAAGGACTCAAACACGACGCAGCCAGGGGGCGCTACAACATCCACCACCACCGCTAACGAAACATCGCTGATGCCAGCCGGCATGGGTGACCCCACGCCGGCGGGGTCGCCGCCCTCTACCCAACCTGAGGCACCGCCGCCGCTTCGCCGGTCCAACAGGCTTCGGCGACCACCTCAAAGGTTCAACTGGTAAAAGCGGGAAATGTGCTACGTCATGCAAGCGTGTCGCCAATCATGTCATGACGTCATCGCCATCGCTGAGCACATAAAAGCGAGACACGCAAAATAAACGATCAGGTTCTTGCTTGGTTACTGAGCCGTTCACTCGCGACGTAACACTTATCACCGACACAGGAACGGCATTCGCTGCCGACTTAACTCAAGCGATCTTGGCATACAGCCAAACAAACCACCGCCGGACGACAGCGTACCACCCACAGACCAACAGCCTCACCGAGCGGCTTAACAAGACGATCGCCGACATGCTGTCAATGTACGTCGATGTCGAACACAAGACGTAGGACGCCATTCTTCCGTATGTGACCTTCGCATAGAACACGGTGGTGCAGGAGACGACGCAGATATCTCCATACAAATTGGTCTACGGAAGGAGCCCGGCTAACGACGCTCGATGCCATGTGACCCCACGCCACCGACCAAGAAAACCTCGATGTGAGTAAGTAGCTTCAACGCGCCGAAGAAGCCCGACAACTCGCGCGTCTCCGTATCAATAATCAACAGACGACCGACAGCCGCCGTTACAATCTTCGACGGCGCTTCGTGGAATACCAGCCCAGTGAATGTGTTTGGGTGTGAACGCCGATACGCCGACGTGGACTAAGTGAAAAGCTTCTGCGACGGTACTTCGAACCGTACAGGGTGGTTCGACGTCTCGGCCCACTTGATTACGAGGTTGTCCCTGACGGCATCACGAACTCTCAACGACGCCGATCGCGACCTGAAGTCGTCCATATCGCGCGCCTCAAGCCGTTTCATGCGCGTTAACAAATTGAAACAGTGTTTTTTGTATTATTGTTGTATCGTAATTTATTCATTGTACTTTCTTGCATTCTTGTTCTACCTTCATCTTTAGTTAAAGCATCGGAACGATGCCTTTTTTTCAGAGGGGGGCAATGCCACGTTCTATTTTCCTAGTTTTTGTTATCGTCCCAAAACACCGCACGATTCTCAGCGCAAACCGCGCCTGCAGTTTTCGAGAAAGTTCCGGACTGTAGTAGATCATTTCAATAAGAGAACGCCCACTGTGCGAACGGTACAGGTTGTTCTGGAACCTACGCTACCGCCAACGATAACGCTAGAACATTCGACGGCAAGAGTATAAATACCGACGCGCTTCGCCGCCTGTCAGTTGTTGATCGAAGGCCGACGCTCCGTTCGCTGCTATCAGTCCGAGACTGCTATCTGTGCATACTGCTGCTGTAATTGGACTTTCTGTTTACCGGGCACAGGTTCGCCCAAATAAACAGTCAAATTCCGACAAGAAGTCTCCTGTCTTCGGCCACGTCATGACCCCGTGACATCTGGTGGAGGTGCTGCTTCGTTCATGTACCGGACGCCCCCGTCAAGCCGTGAACCCAGCCCACGTCGCGGAGAAGACATCGACGCCAACCAGGAGCTGAGAACAAGCCGCTGACAGCAAGTGCTACAACCGGAGTACGGACTTCTACAACACAAGGCGTGGAAGACCAAGGCCATGACCGCGACTGCAGCGACTATGATAACCGCAGCGTCCCAGCCCACGATGGTCATGCATCAACCCAAGGAACCACCAATTTTCCATGGGTCTTCGTTCGAAGACCCGGAGTCCTGGCTAGAAACATACGACCATGTGGCCGCCCTCAACCATTGGGACCATGACGAAAAGCTGCGTCGTGTGTTTTTCTATTTGAAAGACACCGCAAGGACCTGGTTCGAAAATCGGGAGTCCACGCTCTGAACGTGGGATGTTTTCTGTGGCGCGTTCCTGCAAACGTTCGCGAGCCCCGCTCGCAAAGGGAGGGCCGCTGCTTTATTAGAGACCCGGGTTCAGCTACCAAATAAAAATGTCGCCTTTTTCACAGAAGAAATGACCCGACTATTCCGTCACGCTGACCCAGACATGCCTGAGGAGAAAAAAGTTCGTTTCTTCATGCGAGGGGTGAAACAGGAGCTCTTCGCGAGACTGATGAGATACCCACCGAAAACCGTCCAAGAATTTGTAGCCGTAGCGACCACTATCGAAAAGACCCTGTTACTGTCTTAAACCCCTAATTACTGTCTGGAATCATGGGGAGTGACGTACAACAGTTATCTAAAAATTCTTGAAAGACTTCAAAAGCGTACACTGAAACTCATAAGCCAAGGTGAATCAGTAAGTAATATTTTCTAATCACAACCATTCTCTCGGTTCCACTGTTGCGTGACTACAAAATTGCCGTTTTAGTAAATAACATAATTAATAGAAATTCACCTTTGCCTGCTGATCTTTTTTCAATTCCTAAACGCAATGCGTGACATGCTTCGAATGGTAATTTCAATCTGCCCAAATGTTTTAATGTTTACGGAGAAAGACTGATACAGTTTAATGGAAGAAAAATATGGAACACGGTTCCCCTAGAGATTAAAACGGCACGTAATTTCAGCATGGCATGTAAATCATTTTTTCTGTGGAGTCAAGACATGTAAGCATGTGTGTGTTTGATTCGATTTTTATTGTAATTTTTTTAATAAGTGCCTATCTATAGAAACTAGCTGCAAGCTAATAAGTATGCATATCTGCAGGAAAAAATGTATTACTGTGTTATCTGTATTATATGATTGCTTTTTTTGTTTTTTGATGTTGTTACCTCAGAGCTGACCTGTACACTTTTTTATGTGGCACATTGTATTGGACCGTCCACTAGCCACTTTAGGCTATCGGTCCAAATAATCCCTGTAATTGCATATATCTATTCATGAAAATAAAGTTTCATTGATTGATTGATTGATTGATTGATTGATTGATTGATTGATTGATTGGTTGACATGCACACCAGACAGTATAATCGTCGCCTGACTGCAGACTGCGCTGCTGCTCAAGCGAGTAACTCCGGAGACCTGCGTGAAACGATCCGAGCGATCGTGCAGGAAGAGCTGCGCAAGCTGTTGCCTTCGGCGCAGCCTCAAGTGGATTCAATCGCCGACATTGTGCGAGAAGTTCGGCAATCGCTTCAAATTCCCCACGCACCGCTGCCCGAGCCGGGAGCTATGAGCTACGCCGCTGCACTGCGCTCTTACTTCTAAATTCCTGCGCTCCTATTTCTAAATTCACATATACACCCCAAAAAGTTGGGTGAGGGAAGGCCACTGTGATAGCTCAGTCGTTAGAAAATCGAACACGTTATTCGGAGGTCGTAAGTTCGATTCCTGCTCACGGTAGGTTATTTTTTCACCCACTTTTCTTTCTTCTTATTGACACTCCATTTGTTCTAATAACTTCCCCTGTACATTTCTTGGCAATACTGTCTGTTAGATCTCACTAATATTGTGTCAAAACACGGAAAAACGAGCTCTTAGATATACACTTCTTCCCATATATATATATATATAAGTGTGTTTGTGTGTGTGTGTGTGTGTTTGCGTGTGTGTGAAATAAGTTCAATGGTTCCGATAAGAAATGCAGCAGAAGTATTGACGACGACGAAAACACGAAAGACAGTTTTACTAACCTTTCGGCAGGAGGGCCTGCCTTCGCCAGAGTAAATGTTGAAAGGCCGTGCAGGGAGCAGCTCGCTCGGGTATCACCAGAAAGCGTCTTATTTTTGCTTTTTCACCTTCACGCTAGATTGCTGATTTTCAATTCAAGTCAATGGACCTCTCCCTGTTTGTAAACAGTCTGACGTCACTGCGGACACCCCACCAACCATATGCTCTTTCGGAGCAGGTGCTGTTTGGCAAGAAAGTTCCTGCCTGTGGCATTTTTCTTTATAGCAGAACTGCGTGTCTGCATTCCTACGACAAAAATTTCAACATTGCTAGGTTCTAAAGTCAAAGCTTTTGAAAGAAGAGGGTCGCGGAAGAGTTCCTGCACATAAAATGTGGAAACTTGCTCGTCGTAGTTGGATGATGAAGAAACTTTACTCAGAGTACTGAGAGACGCGACTAGCACGCAGTGGGTTTCACCCACGTAGATGGCAGCCATAAAAAAGTCTGATCTTTTTCTAAAGTGAACGTTTTGAATGTGCACGGTAACTGGCACTTTGAGTTCGCCGCAGTGGTCTAGTGGCTAAGGTACTCGGCTGCTGACCCGCAGGGCGCGGGTTCGAATCCCGGCTGCGGCGGCTGCATTTCCGATGGAGGAGGAAATGTTGTAGGCCCGTATGCTCAGATTTGGGTGCACGATAAAGAACCCCAGGTGGTCTAAATTTCCGGAGCCCTCCACTATGGCGTCTCTCATAATCATATAGTGGTTTTGGGACGTTAAACCCCACATATCCATCAATCAACTGGCACTTTGAGAAATACTTGCATGGCATGGATTTAAAATTACTAAATTTCCATCGTGGCATGTGCAATGCAGTTTTAAACGAGGTTCAGCACTGGTGGCCGCATGGTTTTGAGCTGCTGTGGTTGACGTCACGGATAAGATTCTCTCTTATTGCGCAAAAGTCTGATCGGAGATAAATGAAAAAAAGAAACACTTCTTGCCGTGCGTTAGACTGAGGTTAACATATCCCCGTGAAAACTAACGGGAAATTCTGCCGCAGCGTTTCTCCACAACTCAGTGAGTATTCATGTGTTGTAAAACCCGACAATTTAATAATATAACCAGTTTTTCACACCCTCCCAGCATGGCTTCAGTAAAAACTTCTCCTATGGCACGCAGCTCTTAGTCCTTACTAACGACCTGCATACTCGACTCTGGATTTACCATTGACTGTTTTTTTTAGATTATTCGAAGACGTTTGACAAGGTTAGTCATTAGATACTACTTCTTAAGCTGACAATTATAAATCTAGATCCTAACGTGCTGAACTGAATTCGAGCCTTTCTTTCTAACTGAACACAATTTGTTTCTGCTAACAATGTTTGCTCTCTCGTCCAACCAGTGTTCTCGGGCATTCCCCAAGGCTCTGTATTTGGACCATTGCTGTTCTTATTTTTCATGAATGACATGCCAACTAACGTCTCATCAAAAGTATGCCTGTTCGCTGA